TGGACACACACACACACACACACACACACACACACACACACACACACACACACACACACACACACTCGACAGAGTAAATAGTTTTAGAGTGACCTCTGATGGACAGACACACACACACACACACACACACACACACACACTCGACAGAGTAAATAGTTTTAGAGTGACCTCTGATGGACAGACACACACACACACACACACACACACACACTCGACAGAGTAAATAGTGCTAGAGTGACCTCTGATGGACACACACACACACACACACACACACACACACACACACTCGACAGAGTAAATAGTTTTAGAGTGACCTCTGATGGACAGACACACACACACACACACACACACACTCGACAGAGTAAATAGTTTTAGAGTGACCTCTGATGGACAGACACACACACACACACACACACACACACACACACACACACACACACACACACACACTCGACAGAGTAAATAGTGTTAGAGTGACATCTGATGGACAGACACACACACACACACACACACACACACACTCGACAGAGTAAATAGTGTTAGAGTGACATCTGATGGACAGACACACACACACACACACACACACACACACTCGACAGAGTAAATAGTTTTAGAGTGACCTCTGATGGACAGACACACACACACACACACACACACACTCGACAGAGTAAATAGTTTTAGAGTGACCTCTGATGGACAGACACACACACACACACACACACACACACACACACACACACACACACACACACACACACACACACACACTCGACAGAGTAAATAGTGTTAGAGTGACCTCTGATGGACAGACACACACACACACACACACACACACTCGACAGAGTAAATAGTGTTAGAGTGACCTTTGATGGACAGACACACACACACACACACACACACTCGACAAAGTAAATAGTGTTAGAGTGACCTCTGATGGACAGACACACACACACACACACACACACACACACACTCGACAGAGTAAATAGTGTTAGAGTGACCTCTGATGGACACACACACACACACACACACACTCGACAGAGTAAATAGTGTTAGAGTGACCTCTGATGGACAGACACACACACACACACACACACACACACACACTCGACAGAGTAAATAGTGTTAGAGTGACATCTGATGGACAGACACACACACACACACACACACACACTCGACAGAGTAAATAGTGTTAGAGTGACCTCTGATGGACAGACACACACACACACACACACACACACTCGACAGAGTAAATAGTGTTAGAGTGACCTCTGATGGACACACACACACACACACACACACACACACACTCGACAGAGTAAATAGTTTTAGAGTGACCTCTGATGGACAGACACACACACACACACACACACACACACACACACACACACACACACACTCGACAGAGTAAATAGTGTTAGAGTGACCTCTGATGGACACACACACACACACACACACACACACACACTCGACAGAGTAAATAGTTTTAGAGTGACCTCTGATGGACAGACACACACACACACACACACACACACACTCGACAGAGTAAATAGTGCTAGAGTGACCTCTGATGGACACACACACACACACACACACACTCGACAGAGTAAATAGTTTTAGAGTGACCTCTGATGGACAGACACACACACACACACACACACACACTCGACAGAGTAAATAGTGCTAGAGTGACCTCTGATGGACACACACACACACACACACACTCGACAGAGTAAATAGTGCTAGAGTGACCTCTGATGGACAGACACACACACACACACACACACACACACACACACACTCGACAGAGTAAATAGTTTTAGAGTGACCTCTGATGGACAGACAGACACACACACACACACACACACACACTCGACAGAGTAAATAGTTTTAGAGTGACCTCTGATGGACAGACACACACACACACACACACACACACACACTCGACAGAGTAAATAGTTTTAGAGTGACATCTGATGGACAGACACACACACACACACACACTCGACAGAGTAAATAGTTTTAGAGTGACCTCTGATTCACAGACACACACACACACACACACACACACACACACACACACTCGACAGAGTAAATAGTGTTAGAGTGACCTCTGATGGACAGACACACACACACACACACACACACACACACACACTCGACAGAGTAAATAGTTTTAGAGTGACCTCTGATGGACAGACACACACACACACACACACACACACACACACACACACACACACTCGACAGAGTAAATAGTGTTAGAGTGACCTCTGATGGACAGACACACACACACACACACACACACACTCGACAGAGTAAATAGTGTTAGAGTGACCTTTGATGGACAGACACACACACACACACACACACACACACACACACACACACACACACACACACACACACACACACACTCGACAGAGTAAACGCTGCTGCCACCTAGTGGTGTTTGAGGGGTCATTACAGTTTTCACTAGGACACATTTCTCAATACTTGGGTCAGTTTTTCAGAACTCTTCACACGCACACACACACACACACTCTTGAACACACTCTTGAACATCAGTGTGTGTGAGCTGAGGTGAGGACCATCATCTTTTTGGCATAAAAATACATTAAATTATGACATAATTTCATTTCTATGAATTATTTTCTCATAGACACAAACACCTCAATGTAAAGGCATTTACCGGTATTTTCATGCTTTTTTCAAAATTTTAAAGTTCAAAACAGAACACAAACCTGAATAAGCCGTCCGCTTCTTTAAAGTATAGTTCTAACTCTGGAAAAATGAAATCCAACCAAAACATTTATATGTCACTGAATGTCTTCACCAGTGAGACACATGTCATGCAGAGACTCTCCTCGTGTGTTTGCATAAAGATGCGTTTAAAAGTTCACTATGCTGAGGGGGTGCTAGATCATTGACAGGGGGAGCTGCGCAATTAGCCTATATATATATATACACACACACACACTATTATTTAAATGAGCAAAATTTATGATGAGATGTGCTCCAGTTCACGTGCAATGCAATCGCGCCCGCGCCTCCTTATCTTTATCATATTGTCTGCTATATTTGCTTCTTATTTCAATTGGTTGATGAAAAATTGATTAAAATTAAGATACAATTTATACAAAACGAAATTCACTTTAAAAAGGCTTTCTACAAAACAAAACTTAATTTATTTTAACAAAACTTTATCTATTTTAACAAAAATGAAATTAAATGCGCTTATTTAATGGCTACAACACACATATAGTGGGCCTGACTCTCTAAATATTGAAACAATTAACATCAACAATACTGAAATGCAGTTAATTAATAGTAAATGTTAACTGATTTAATTAAGTGTTACCGAATTTTTATACACCGATTCAAAGGTCTTGCAGCACCTGCTAGCTCCTCCCTAGCGCCGCCCATGATGCTGTTGCAGATGAAATATAATGTGGATAACATTGAATAAATATATTTTCGTCAGGTTATATGCAGATTATTAATAACCCCTTCATCTAACCCTCTCACCGAACCCTCTCTGCTGTTTGCTCATTCTTAACCTAAATAATTTACGTTTTAGTTTTTTAGAATTGTTTACTTCATCCGAATGGTACGAAACTTGGTAAACGTTTTGGCACTTGCTCTGTGAATAAAAAAAAAAATCATGGACATGATTGGAAAAGGTTAAATGTTCCTGGGAGAAAGAACGCCACAGATGTTCTGTTGGAGCGCATTAGAGACGAGTTTCCTCTAGTGGAAGCATTTGGTACTGCGGCCACACACACACACACACACACACACACACACACACACACACACACACACACACACACACACACACACACACACACACACACGCACGCACGCACGCACGCACACACACACACACACACACACGCACGCACGCACGCACGCACACACACGCACGCACACACACACACGCACGCACGCGCACGCACGCACGCACGCACACACACGCACGCACGCACACACACGCACGCACACACACACACACACACACGCACGCGCACACACACACACACACACACACACACACACACACACACACACACACACACGCACACGCACGCACACGCACGCACACACACACACACACTCACTGAAAGCTCAGATTAATGGCTATAGAGTAAAACATGTTTAGAAAAATATGTATTTCATGTAAAATGTAAAATTAGTCTTTTTATGCTGTTTCAGAACAATAAACTTAAATGTCTATATAACGTCTATAATAAATGTCTATAAATGTTTTTTGTTTAAGTTCATTTTTAAGTTCATGCGCTTTAAAGCATTCAAGATTTACGACACTTTAAGATGGACATTTGATTTTCAGGTCTATGCTCAAAAAGTGATTAAATAGATCATAAATATTTCATAAATATAATTCAATACGATAAAATCCCCTCAAAATACCTAAATATTAAATAAAAAACATTATCAAACTAAAATATAGTGGCCTATATTCATTTAATTGAAATAAAGTGTAATTTTTGAGCGGCACACGAGCAGCCAGAGGGTTAGACGTCCGCCTGCACATAAACATGTTTTATTCGTGTGTTCTGCTCGATTCCTCGTCCGACTCGCAGGGGGTTGTGGGTAATATTCGCCGCTGTGCACAGATCCGCATGTCGGATTCCAACCGGAAGAAGTGGAATACTAACTTCCGCATAATACGATCAGGACGGGTAGTGTGTGAATTGGGACGCAGCATTAGTCAGATAGTCGGGTTAGTGTGACATTTATTAAGTTGGCTCAACAAAACATTATTTGTTCAAATGAATGTGTGCTGACCTTAACTAATTACTCGGAGAAGTTTTCCAATGTAAGTGAGTTCATCAAATAAAAACTTTTATCTGTTTGTTTCCAAAGTCATTTATTAATGCAGTTTCTGATTGCGCTGACGTTGTGCTGAAACTGTTTGCAGGGCGAGTGAGGTTGTGTGTTATCAGTCACTCTGTGTTGTGTGTGATTAAACCCTGCAGGGCGCGCCGGGGCCGTCAGGGGCTCCTGGAGCACTCGGACCCCACGGACACAAGGTTCGTCCGATACTAACATCACCGCTAGCAATTATGCTAATACCTGGACTTGACTCTGCTGGGAATAGCCATGCTGAGATTACCTTTATTCCGTTCCTGGAATTGTGTGCGCTTATCTAGTGGATTCTAGGAGAATCATTTTGTAGCAGAATTTCCTTTAATATTTACAGTGATTACTGGGCTTGTTATCTGGAAACAAATGGCTTCTTCTAGCGAAGTTATAATGGAGAAATTGCTTGAGATCCTCTTGTGTTGTGTGTGTGTGTGTGTGTTCAGGGTGGAGTGGGAGAAAAAGGCATTGCTGGTGATCCTGGTACGGACGGTCAAAAGGTAAGAGTCTCGATGTTCTGCATTTAGTCACGCAATGGTGCTGTTAGCCTGTTAGCCTGTTAGCCTGTTAGCCTCCTGATGGATGAGCCGAGGAGTTTATCCTCCATCTGCAGCTCCACTAAAAGAGCCTAAAGAGCAAAGACACCAGTGACCCCTGTTTCCACCCAGTGGTCATTGTGGAGGATTACAAATACCTGGGAGTGCACTTGGGCAATAAACTGGACTGGGCCGAGAACACTCCAGCCCTACAGGACTGGCCAAAGCCGACTCTCTCCTGAGGAGGCTGAGGTCCTCAACACTTGGACACACACACATGCTAAGGTGTTTATGAGTGTGTGGTGGCCAGTGCTGTTGCATGCTGGGATAGCACACGCTAAGGGGCTGTTTACACCCGGCCACTTCATGCGTTTCTCAGCTTGGATAGCGATCTGATTTATCAAAACGATTCCATTTACGGCTGGTCACATAAATGTGTTTTTGCAAAACGGATATAAATCCGATCTTCAGTTCCCGCGCTATATGCAGATTTAACGGAGTTCGCGTCAGCGAAAGCTACAGTTATGAGCTGCACTCGGCTCTTTCTTGCAAGAAAACGACATCTATGAAAAGTTTCAGTCTGGATTCAGGCCACATCATAGCACTGAAACTGCGCTTGTTAGAATCACAAATGATTTACTTTTAGCTTCGGACCAAGGCTGTATCTCAGTACTAGTTTTACTTGATCTTAGCGCTGCGTTCGATACTATAGATCACACAATACTCTTAGACCGACTACAAAATTACACTGGTGTTCAGGGACAGGCATTAAGCTGGTTCAGGTCATACTTATCTGAACGCTACCATTTCGTCTACTTAAATGGAGAAAAATCGATCATAACTTCGGCAAACTATGGAGTGCCGCAGGGATCTGTGTTAGGCCCTTTATTATTCTCAATATATATGCTGCCACTTGGTAATATTCTAAGGAAACATGGAATTAGTTTCCATTGTTATGCTGATGACACTCAAATATATATTTCATCACGGCCAGATGAATACGCTAAATTATCCAAATTGACAGAGTGTGTTAAAGATATAAAAGATTGGATGACGCGTAATTTTCTTTTATTAAATCCAGACAAGACAGAGGTAATACTTATCGGTTCGAAAAACGGTCCACAAAACCTTTCACAGCACGACTTTAACATATTAGGATGCCCTGTTACTTTATCCGCTACAGTAAAAGACCTGGGTGTTACATTAGACTGCAACCTGTCTTTTGAAAAGCATATTTCATATGTTACAAGAACAGCCTTTTTCCACCTTAGAAACATTGCTAAGCTACGTAACATGCTATCAGTCTCTGATGCAGAAAAGTTAGTTCATGCATTCATGACCTCGAGACAAGATTACTGTAATGCTTTATTAGCTGGTTGTCCTGCATCTTCAATAAACAAGCTACAGTTAGTGCAAAATGCAGCCGCTAGAGTTCTTACTAGGTCAAGAAAATATGATCATATAACACCGATTCTATCATCACTTCATTGGTTACCTATAAAGTTCCGTATTAATTACAAGGTATTGCTTTTGACTTATAAAGCTCTGAATGGTTTAGCTCCAGTCTATTTAACGGATCTTCTATCGCCCTATAATCCATCGCGCTCTTTAAGATCACTAAATTCGAGGCTTCTGGTCATTCCTAGGATATCCAGATCCACCAAAGGAGGGAGAGCATTTTCACATTTAGCTCCGAAGCTCTGGAATAGCCTTCCTGATATTGTTCGAGGCTCTGACTCGTTCTCCCAGTTTAAAACTAGACTAAAGACGCATCTATTTAGCCAGGCATTCATATACATTTTTTATCTTACAGTTACTGTAAATTCGGCCTCTACTTCATAAACGCCAGAGGAGAACTGGCCCCGACTGAGCCTGGGTTCTCCCAAGGTTTTTTTTTCTCCATTGGGTCATCTGATGGAGTTTTAGGACACCATCGGGTCACTTGATGGAGTTTTTCGGTCCCTTGCCACTGTTGCCTTTGGCTTACTCAGTTGGGGATATTCAAATTAAATGACCCATCATACCACTGATCAGCTCCACCAAACTTGGATGTCTTTTTCCAGTAATAAACAAACACTGTTAAGTTGTTTTGATTAATACTGTGAAGCAGCTTTGATACAATCTGTATTGTGACAAGCGCTATATAATTATATTTGACTTGACTTGACTTGACATTTTATTGATCATCAGCTAAAATCAAAATCAAAGACCGCAGTAAGAGAGAGTGGTAGCAGCACTGGGAAGATCATGTCGTTTCTTTACTTTTAATGAAGATGATTGTGTGTTAAGCGTCTGCGACTTACTTTCACTTTGATTTGCTGTAGTGCGCGCTGGCTTGATGAAGAGATGCTCATCTGCGGTGATGCTGCAGTAGCGTCGGCATAATGACGTCGTTATCTTCTAGCATTTTTGAGAGGAGTAAAATTTGCATATGTGGTTTCAACAACCAGATGCGTTTACACTTGTCCAGTTCCGTCTGGAGTGACGCTGTGGGGCTTGAGCTCGACTCTCAGAGACGAGGATGCTGTCCAAACTACATGTCATCTTGGACAATGTCTCCCACGCTCTCCATGACGTGCCTCTCGAACACAGGAGCTCTCAGTGCAAGGCTTATTCTCCCATAATGCACCAGAGCGCCACAGTCATCTCCAACGCATTCTCATCCCAAGGCGTCATATACTGACGCTTTTCCCAAAGCGTCTACATCCGACGCACATGGCACCCTTTAGCGTCAATATAACACGCTTCAGTTCTGGGTAGGTTTAGGTCTGGGGTAGTGTTAGGGTTAGACCACTAGGAGGCGCCATATATCTGCGTCTCATATTGACGCTAAAGGGTGCCATGTGCGTTGGATATAGACGCCTTGGGATGAGAACGGGCTGTCATCTCTGCCTGAGGCCATCAAGCTTCATAACTCCTGACACACCGACACTTCGTTTTTAAACTGACGATATTTCTGTTTTTGTGCAACATTATCTGTTTAATAATTAATGTGCAAATATTCTTTGCTGCTATTTATTTCACCATAATAATTCTAAATAATGTAAATGTTCACCATAACAATTCTCTAATAATGTAAATATTGTATATACCCACACTCCTCATATTATTTTTCGGTAACACTTTAGAATACGGTTCCTTCGTTAATGAATAACCACAGGAACAAATGAGTAACACAATATTAACAATCTAGTAACTACTATTAACTAACAAGAAATTCTGATTAACGAATTAGTAAGTAACAGCGCACAGATGAAAGTGGTAGTTCACTATTAAAGTAACAACAGGTAACTTTTCAGCCTTCATAATATATTTCCAAGTCTCTTGTGATGGTACATCGACTTACAATAGGTTGAATGACACATCTGCCATAGCCTGACGGGGTCTGTAGCGTTTTTAATCGTACTTTTAAACTTCGGGTTTCGGGTAGTAACCGGCGAACAAAGAGAACTACAAAATTCGACTGCTTTACGGCATATACGTCACTTCCACCACCACCCCCACTTCCTTAAAATCGGACTTGCGAGCCAAATGTTATAGTCATGGCCGAAGCAGCACAGTAAAACAAGAAAGCAAAGGTTTTATCGGAGCAAAGCAAAAAGAGAAAAAGAGAAAGTGATCGCGTTAAAGGCAGAACGAGGATCAACATTGCAGAGCTGCCAACTCACGCATTGGCCGTGAGACACCCGCATTTGATTGGTTTCACACGCTCACACGCCACACTCCCGATTTCTCACGCTGAAGTGTCAACCCGGTCGGTCAAATGCCTGAAAGATGAGTTTATCTATAGATCTACCTGTTGAGCCACTCGTGATCGACAAGTTATACCGCAAATTAGTTCAAATCTCCCGGAATCTAGAGCGAGCGCGCACGCGAGACAGAGACTGTGCTCCAACGCGCGCGGACGGCAGAGAGAGAAAGCGAGCGAGAGACCTTGCGTGTGCAGGGAGCATCGAACCCCCCATCGAAAAAAGAATGCCTCTCTCTGTCTAACCTCTCTAATTCGCTAGAGTAGTAGCGAATTATCAATCTGGTAGCTAGTAAACGATATTCTAGTTTTTGATGGTTAGCTATCGCTAGTATTCTCGTTCTGATTTGAACTTTGCAATCGATGAAATGCAAATAGCAAATGTTTGACCTAAAAAGTGTAGTCTACTCAACATGTACAAAGAAAGGAGGAAGATTATTAATAAAATCATATTTTAGGATACCTAACATGTCTGTGATATTTGTATATTTGTCTTGCCTCAAGCTATAATGCAAATCGATTTGTAAAATTTGCAGATTCATTTATGGTAGCTTGATATTATAATATTGACGATATATGGTTATTATCAACCACTCAAACATTGCATTGAAGTATCATATAGATTCAGTAAAACGGTAACCAATAGACTAGGCTACTATAATGACGCTGGCTTGTAAACGCGATCATTTGTCGTTATAAAAAAAATAAAACACATGAAATTATATTCATATGACATGCTGAAATATATGCCACTGTACCTGGGATGAAGACATTTCACACACACGAGAACACCTGCATGTGACCTCCTCCTACAGTGTTCAGGGCTATCATGGTTGTCAACAAATGCACGTGCATGTAGGATGACAGTTTACGACAGTAGTAGAGGACAATACTGTTTCCCAACTGTAGGGGGAGTCCGAGAGCAAAAAACTACCTGTTGTTACTTTAACTAATCAATAACTAAACATTTTTTAATGCTTCCCAGAGAACTACTGAAAAAGATTCATAATTCATGCAAAACTAATCAATAACTAATGAAAGACAAATGACTAGCACTACATTAACATTAATAACTGCTACTGTAAACAAATACACAAGGTTTATCAATATGTAATAGCATAGCAGACTTATGATTTGGGAAATAATTAGCCTATGCTCTCTCCTAGAGAACTATTTATCAACTGAATAATTTTAAAGAAATGGCTTTTTAAATGCAGTTGTCGGGACCTTACTTGTCCTGTAGTGATTAAATGCCTGTCCAGAGGAATGCCAGAAAGTCACGGTGACGGCTGGAACATATTGAGTTATCGGCCATCCAAATACCATATACAGTGATTTTATTATTTAACCTACCTCGCAAAAAAATATGGTTTTTTTTTATGTCTCCTAGCTCATATACGTGTGTGCAAATATCTTGTGAAGGATTAGAAGATTCTACACTTTAGGATTTTCATGTAAGAATCATGATAACTAACCAGTAATGACTCAAGTGTTACTACATACTTCTAAAGGAATTACTAATTATTTGGATCCGTATTCTAAAGTGAAGATCACGGTAACTAACTAGTAATGACTCAAATGTTACTACATACTTCTATGTTAATTACTATCTAAAACTTCACCAAAAACCTCAAAAGCTTAAAAGAATTAGTAATTCCTTTAGAAGTATGTAGTAACACTTGAGTCATTACTGGTTAGTTATCATGATTCTTACAGTAGTTCTCTGGGAAGCATTAAAAAAAAAGTAGTTACTGATTAGTTAATAGTGAACTACCACTTTCATCTGTGCACTATTACTTACTAATTTGTTAATAAAAATTTCTTGTTAGTTAATAGTAGTTACTAGATTGTTAATATTGTGTTACTCATTTGTTCCTGTGTAGTTATTCATTAACGAAGGAACCATATTCTAAAGTGTTACCTATTTTTCTTTATATTTATACTCTTAGATTATATACTCTTTATCTGTCTACTTTTTATTACTATTTCTTTTCCTAATGCCTTGACAGGTGTGCAATTATGAGAAATAATTCCCCCTCGGGGATCGATAAAGTATTTCTGCTTCTGCTTCTGGTTTGTGAGCTGTGCTGTGGATCCCACAGGGCGAGCGGGGCGAGGCCGGGCCCCCAGGAGATCCCGGAGCGATGGGCCTTCATGGATATAAAGGACACGAGGTAAAGCTGCCGTTCCACACATGACCAAACCTCCACATGCACTACAGCGCTCAAAGGCCCGGCGTGGGTACGGTTTTTAGTGTTTGTCAAAGAGTCTCTCTGCTCACCAAAGCTGCGTTTATTTGATCAAAAATACAGTAAAACAGTGTAATATTACTCCAGTGTAAATCATCTGTTCTCTATGTGAATATACAGTAAAGTGTAATTTATTCCTGTGATCAAAGCTGATTTTCAGCATCATTACTCCAGTCTTCAGTGTCACATGATCCTTCAGAAATCACTCTAATATGAGGATCTGATGCTCAAGACACATTTATGATTATTATCAGTGTTGAAAACAACTGTGCTGCTTCATATTTTTGTGGAAACCGTCATATATTTTATTTTTCAGGATTCTTTGATGAATAGAAAGTTCAAAAGAACAGCAATATTTGAAAAATAATATTTTGTAACGTTATAAATGTCACTTCTGATCAATTTAATGCGTCCTTGATGAATAAAAGTATTAATTAACTAAACTAGAGCTATAATCAAATCTTGACCTGAGTCATCTCCTGACACTCACGACATCGAGGTCTAAGATCAGATTCCCAGATTCGGATAAAAGTGTCCAGTGAATAACTGAGTCATCGAGTGTTTGAGCTCAATAAAGGAACGCAATTCCCTTCTGCAACATCCAGATAAACATTATTAATGACCTGAAACACACTTGGGTGTCCCTGATAGGGACATTTGTAATGGACTCCATAGCCAGCATTTCGCCAACACCTGAAACATTACAAAATTACACAAAATATTCATACACACTGTACACATACAAATATATATACACGTTGCTAATCCATGTTCTAATTGATCCCGGTGCAAAAGAGTTTTTAAACCTGTTCTGTTTCTGACTTCTTCCAGACGGTAAGTGTTCATAAGAGCGGCAGTGCATGAGACGGGTCGCTTAAAACCCTTTCAGGCTCATTTAATATGCATTGCTCATAGAGTCTGAATAGTCTTTCAGTCCAATATTTCATAGAAGTTCCAACAATATATAGTATAAATAAATATGATGTATATATATATATAATGTGGTAACTGTGCTTCAGGACGTGGTAAACAATCTCTTGTTCAGCTGAACCAGTTTAAGCCGGTATGATCTGGTGTTTCCAGCTCTGGTCATCCACCTAAACCAGTTTGATCCAGCTAATGATTAGCTAGAAACCAGCTACCATTTAATATGTTTTACATGCATATTCTTATATGCAGTTGCGTATGAGAGGTGGCAGTGCAAATCTAGTGTACAGTAAGTCACTTTTAATAGATAAAGTTTCTGCTAATGACTGACTACATGTTTGATGGCTGTCCGGCTCATGTAATGCCGTGTCTGACACTGTTCTCCTGTTGTGGAGAGTGAAGTGAGCTGTGTTTCTGTGTTTCAGGGAGAGAGAGGACAAGCGGGACCCAAAGGCCTTCAGGTAAAGACCCCTCCACAGTTCCTGCTTTTTTTCAAAGCATAATAATAGTTTTAGTGGGGACTTTTTATGGAAAAGTTGAACTTTATCACTTTAAAACCCTGTTAAGTTAAGATGAAATTTTGTAAATCAATGAGATCTTCATAACAGTAAAGCAGATATTAACATAAAATGCCTATCAGTATCAATATCTGCCAATACTATGTCTTATAATGCTTATTTTGATGATCAAAGCTCTGTAGTTTTAAAACATATTGTATAATGCAATGCAATACAGTGATGATTGACATGAACAAATAAACGGCAACACTTTACAATAAGGTTCAAGTTAATGTATTAACTAACACGAACTAACCATGAGCAATTCATTTGTTACTGTATTTGTTAATCTTTGTTAATATTAGTTAATAAAAATACAGCCGTTCATTGTTTGTTCATGTTCACAGTGCATTATCTAATGTTAACAAAATGTTAATAAAGTATTAGTAAATGTTAAAATTAACATTGACAAAGATTAATAAATGCTGTATAAGTGCAGTTCATTATTAGTTCATGCTAACTAATGTAGTTAACTAATGTTATCTTATGAACCTTATTGTAAAGTGTTACCAAGTAAACCTTCCTCAAAATCCTTATGATCATATTTCATACTCGTGATTTTTCTAATTAATGATGTTTGGATAATCAAGTAAAGCTGCTTCAGTCCAGCTGAAATATTACTAACAATATCAAAGTTCTCACGTTTCCTTGATAAAGTCATGTCAGATTGACACAGAAAGACTCGTGAAGCTCGAGCTGAAGGACGTTTGTACAGTTACACTGACAGACTTTACTGGATAAAAGAGTCTAAACTCTCAGTCGGACACAGAAGCACTGGATTGAGTGCGTCAGCAAAGTTAATAATTTAAAAGCCCTGAAAACTGTGCGAATCAAGTATAATATAATACAGTAGGCTAATATCTTAGCTTGCAGCTGCAGTGTAATTTGTGTACTTTACCGTAATACTCTCCGTAGGGAACATCACCCTGAGTGTAGTTAGCTCAGTCTCTGTCAGTAAACGGGATGTGATGAGTCTTGTAAAGGTTATAAGAACCACCCGTTGATTGTGAATGCTAATATAACCTTTTAGAGACGGAGACCCCGCTAACACAGACCCTCTCCTTCACAGGGGGAAAAGGGCAGCAGAGGTTCTCCTGGCACTCCTGGCACTCCAGTAAGTGTTGGAACACCTTCATCCACCAGGGGGCGCCAGCTCTATTGCCCTGCACTGCACTTATAGAACTTATAGACCTTGTTCACTTATAGAACCTTATAGAACTTGTTCACTTATAGAACCTTATAGAACTTATAGACCTTGTTCACTTATAGAACCTTATAGAACTTGTTCACTTATAGAACCTTATAGAACTTATAGAACTTGTTCACTTATAGAACCTTATAGAACTTGTTCACTTATAGAACCTTATAGAACTTGTTCACTTATAGAACCTTATAGAACTTATAGACCTTGTTCACTTATAGAACCTTATAGAACTTGTTCACTTATAGAACCTTATAGAACTTATAGACCTTGTTCACTTATAGAACCTTATAGAACTTGTTCACTTATAGAACCTTATAGAACTTATAGAACTTGTTCACTTATAGAACCTTATAGAACTTGTTCACTTATAGAACCTTATAGAACTTATAGAACTTGTTCACTTATAGAACCTTATAGAACTTATAGAACTTGTTCACTTATAGAACCTTATAGAACTTATAGAACTTGTTCACTTATATAACCTTATAGAACTTATAGAACTTGTTCACTTATAGAACCTTATAGAACCTTATAGAACTTGTTCAATTATAGAACCTTATAGAACCTTATAGAACTTGTTCAATTATAGAACCTTATAGAACCTTATAGACCTTGTTCACTTATAGAACCTTATAGAACTTGTTCACTTATACCCCTTTTCCACCAAAAACGAACTGGTTCGGAACTGGTGCTGGTTCAAAGTTGGTTCGGAGTTGGTTCAACTTGCGAACCTTCTCAGTCAGAACCTGTTTGTTTTTCCACTGACAAGAGCGCCCAGCGAACGACGTCGTTACGTCACTGTGTACGTCGCCATACATCTTAGCTAGAAACGCTTGCAAGTACAACATTACTTTGGGATTATCTCTAACTCGTGAACCAAGAAGGCTTTAAAAACAATTGAAATATGTAAGTCTTTTAATCTTTTCCTTTGATATGTAATCTTTTCTGATTAGTTATGTACTCCTGTCGTGTGTATTTTTTTCTTTCCATTTATTTGTTCTATATTGTGACTGTTTTCTCCTTTGTTTACATAACGTTTTCAAAAAAAAAAAATGATAAAAAAAAAACTAGAAACGCTTGCGCTAACTTCAAGCATAACAATTACAATGGCGGACTACATCGTGTTTCTGCAAATGTTTCTCCTGGCTTTGCGATCCTATATTATGTCAGAAAATATGTTATCTAAACCCGCCCCCAGCCCCCCGACGTAAGCATGACGTGGTAAAAGAACGGTTCTAGTCCAGCAAAGAGTTGGTGCCGCTTTGGAACCAGTTTTCCTGGCCGAGAACCGGTTCTTTGGCTGTCGAAACACAAAGAACCGGTTCGCGCGCAGGCACCGGCTCCGAACCGGCTCTCAAAATGCGTTGGTGGAAAAGGGGTATTATAGAACCTTATATAACTTATAGAACTTGTTCACTTATAGAACCTTATAGAACTTATAGAACTTGTTCACTTATAGAACCTTATAGAACTTGTTCACTTTTAGAACCTTATAGCACTTATAGCACTTATAGAACCTTATAGAACCTTATAGAACTTATAGAACTTGTTCACTTATAGAACCTTATAGAACTTGTTCACTTATAGAACCTTATAGAACCTTATAGAACTTGTTCACTTATAGAACCTTATAGAACCTTATAGAACTTGTTCACTTATAGAACCTTATAGAACTTATAGCACTTATAGAACGTTTGAAAGCATGACCAGATTCAGAGATTAAGAAGCGGCTCAGATCAGATGAGTTGAAATTGCTGGAAGAGGAATTCAAGCTGAAGTTCAAATGAATTCAAACAGCAGAGGATGTTTTGCAATGTAGATAATTACATCATAAATCTTTCTGGAAATACCCAATAAATATCACATCACCAAAAACAATGAAGTGAATTATTAAAAAGTACACTTATAGCAGGTGCATTTCTTTGATTTCATTCCATTCATATTTGCATTATATTTCTGCTTGCAACCTCATTTCATATACAAATCTGAATGATAAAGTGATTAAATGATGGCTTCAGTAGGAAGTTTAATAATTACTTGTACACTCTTAGAAAGAAAAGTTCAATGGGGTTCTATACAGTTCAATTCAATTCATTTCAAAGAGCTTTCCCCAATACACATCGTTCCACAGCAGCTTTACAGTAAATACACGAGTCCACATTACAGTTCACAGTGATCGTCATCAGAGTTATGCAGTTCACAAATGTACATATGCACATCACAGTTAGATAATAATGTATTCATTTAAACAATGTAATAATTGAAGGCAGAAACAACGAGCTCCCTGAAGTCATGAATACATGTTTGTTAACACAGAACTGGCAAAAATGTTCTATATAAGGAGATATGTTTTAAACAGTTGCATGTTCACATTCTAGTGGTACAGTATGTTAATGAGCTGTGTAATCCATAAAATATAATAAAAAATAAAAAAAATAAAAAATAATCCATAAAATGATCCCCTTTTGGGAAGCACTGAAAGGCACATGAAGCGTCCGGAGGAACTCTCTAAAGCTCCAGAGAGAAGCTCTTCTTTAAGAGTGAACACACACTTCTCAAACTGAACTTCCCCATTCGGAAACTTTTATCCTGTTGAATCATTCTAGGATTCGCAGAAGATACTCCTGATTCCTGGGAAAGCTTCAGTCACAGACACTGACTCACAAACGTGTCGGAGAACAAGGAGTCGCGAACATGAGACATCTTCAGATGATATATACAACATCCAAGCCGTTTAAGAGGGAATATATAACTGATTATAAAACTTATATCTACAATCAGAGCAATATTTATCAGGCACAGATTTGTATGTGCAATAGAGCTTTATAACGCTGCGCTTCTACAGATCGAGCTTTTATGAGGTTGAGAAGCTGAAGCGTTTGTAGTGTGTGTTTGAGCTTCTTCACTGTTGCTTGTAGACAGTAGCGCTTTATTTTACAGTGTCATTATTACACGTTACTGTAGATACTATAGTAATAAATTATGCATAATTACATGCGATTATCCCTAAACCAAACACTCATCCTAACCCTAACCCTATAGTAAGACATGTAGTTAATATTACTCAGTGCTTAAATATAGAATTACACTATAAAGTGTAACCAAGGATTGTAGTCCGAAACACTTCTTTAAGATGTGGAAAGGCAAACATCTGTCGGCGTGATTTGATCATAAAGTTTCTCTTTCTGAACAGGGTGACGTCGGGCCGAGGGGAAGCAAAGGAGAGGTTTGTAGAATTACACACTTCAGTCACACTTAAACCATTCCTGCTTATTTTACACCAGATTTATGACGGTCAGATGGTCAGATGGCCTTTCCCTCTGACAGCTTCAGGCCAGTGCTGTCCGGTGGAAACTAAACACATTTAATATGGATATTTATTATTCCATGCTTGTGGGAAAATCAGTTTCCAGACGTATATGCAAATCACTTTAAAAGAATGCATTTTTCCTCCAGAGAGGTTTATTAAATATGTCCGTTCTGTGTTTACTGCACACTAGAGCTGCACGGTTTGATTATTTGGACAGATATTGTGATTGCGATTTAATCTTTAACATTTCATATTGCTGCTTAACAACAACAAGTTTCCTGATTGTTTTTCAGTCTCCTTGAACATTGTGGACTAAAACTGAATCTACTGTACGTCAGGGTGTTTACATTAACATTTAACACTAACTGACAATACAACATCATTCTAAAGCATTTATTAATCTTTGCTAATGTCAATTTCAACATTTACTAATGTCCAATGTAATAATGTTGTATCTGTTAATATTATGTAATGGACCTGAGTGAAAATGGACTAACAATGAAGAGTTGTATTTTTACTAACTAATATACAGAAAGATTAATAAATACTGTAACAAATTAATTGTGCATTGTTAGTTAATAGCAGTTAAAAATTCTAACTAATGGGAAGTGTTATCTGTAAAACTATTAAAAATACTTTTATTAGCTGATAAAAAGCTGAAGTAAAATAAATATTAGATAAAAACGTAAAATAATATAAAACGTAAATATAAATTATATTATATATATATAAAAAGATATAAAGTACATAACAAATTTACTTTAAAATGAAATAAAAAACTGAAAATATAAAAACTAAATTATTACTAAATAGTATAAATAACACTAAAATAACACTGTATATTATACTACAGTAATAAAAAATTACTAACTTATTTTTATTCAGATTATATTGTCCAATATAGGATAAGTTTGCACAGAAACATATTAGAAATGATGTGAATATGAAGTGGAGATCCTGTTACAATCAGTGCAATGCATTTCAACTATACGTTATCTAATACGCAGCGAGGCCACATCATGATTTATATAAAGAATATAAATATAAATGCAGGAATGCGTGGCTATAGGCCATACCTGTCAAGTTTTGGATTTGAAAATAAGGGAAATTTTCCGGCGCCCACCGCGACCAGTCCCACCACCCCAACCAAGCTCCAGTATCCCTTACATTTTAAGACAGGTGTTATAGCCTAAATGAAAACATGTGTGTGTGGTATAGCCTATATATACACTCACCGGCCACTTTATTAGGTACCCCATGCTAGTAACGGGTTGGACCCCCTTTTGCCTATTGACATGATGGCATCACACAGTTGCCGCAGATTTGTCGGCTGCACATCCATGATGCGAATCTCCCGTTCCACCACATCCCAAAGATGCTCTATTGGGTTGAGATCTGGTGACTGTGGAGGCCATTTTAGTACAGTGAACTCATTGTCATGTTCAAGAAACCAATTTGAAATGATTAGAGCCTTGTGACATGGTGGAAGTAGCCATCAGAGGATGGGTACATGGTGGCCATAAAGGGATGGACATGGTCAGAAACAATGCTCAGGTAGGCCGTGGCATTTAAACGATGCCCAATTGGCACTAAGGGGCCTAAAGTGTGCCAAGAAAACATCCCCCACACCATTACACCACCACCACCAGCCTGCACAGTGGTAACAAGGCATGATGGATCCATGTTCTCATTCTGTTTACGCCAAATTCTGACTCTAACATCTGAATGTCTCAACAGAAATCGAGACTCATCAGACCAGGCAACATTTTTCCAGTCTTCAACTGTTCAATTTTGGTGAGCTCTTGCAAATTGTAGCCTCTTTCTCCTATTTGTAGTGGAGATGAGTGGTACCCGGTGGGGTCTTCTGCTGTTGTAGCCCATCCACCTCAAGGTTGTGCGTGTTGTGGCTTCACAAATGCTTTGCTGCATACCTCGGTTGTAACGAGTGGTTATTTCAGTCACTGTTGCCCTTCTATCAGCTCGAACCAGTCTGGCCATTCTCCTCTGACCTCTGGCATCAACAAGGCATTTCCGCCCACAGAACTGCCGCTCACTGGATGTTTTTTCTTTTTCGGACCATTCTCTGTAAACCCTAGAGATGGTTGTGCGTGAAAATCCCAGTAGATTAGCAGTTTCTGAAATACTCAGACCAGCCCTTCTGGCACCAACAATCATGCCACGTTCAAAGTCACTCAAATCACCTTTCTTCCCCATACTGATGCTCGGTTTGAACTGCAGGAGATTGTCTTGACCATGTCTACATGCCTAAATGCACTGAGTTGCCGCCATGTGATTGGCTGCTTAGAAATTAAGTGTTAACGAGCAGTTGGACAGGTGTACCTAATAAAGTGGCCGGTGAGTGTATGTGTGGTATATATATGTGGTATATATATGGTATATATGAAGAGCATTTATTTAAAGGCTTATTTGCATATTTTCTGTTCATTTAACATTGATTGTCTTTACATTTACATTTTATTTTCACTCCACACATTCTTTTCATTTCATATTGCTTTTCTTTTACAGTTTTTCTTTTCAGTTCACATAACTTTTGTTTACTCTTTTAGTGAGTTATTGGACAAATTTGTTGCAGACTTTGTATTCTTTAAGACTGTTTTGGAAGGAGTGTATTTGTGGGCTGGGCCAGAGTGGTTAATTTTACATGAGAGTAGAGCAAACAGTTCTGTTGTCTAACGTCATCCTATTCTCTGTAACTATATTTTGTACCATGCTAAACACCCTTTCTCGTGCTGACATATAATTCCTTCCCCCGTGTGAGATGCTAAAGTCGCAGTTACAAAAAGCGTGACTGTCCCCCACCCTGCTCCTCTTCAGAAAAGAAAATTCGCTGTCCCATTGATCGCGCCATCGCGGTATTTACATGTTTGTTTGTTTTTTGGCAGGAGTGCCTTCCGTCTCTGTCATAGCGTCCATCATCCATCTCTTTTTTTGTTTGTTTTTCCCGCGTTGTCACCTATTTTTTACAGTCTATGGTTGTCACTCATCATCTGACCTCACACACTAACCTCGCGACAACTGCCACCTATAGTAGCCTACATGTAGTTATCGCGAGGCTAGTGACAGAGCTCAGATTGGGAATGTTTTTTTTTTTTACTCCGTCCGAGGTATTATTATTTTTTACGCAGGTTAAAATACGGGAGATTTACGGGAAAATACTAATACGGGAGGACGGCGGGAAAGAAGGGTAAAATACGGGACTTTCCCGGCCAAAACGGGATACTTGACAGGTATGCTATAGGCTGATATATGTGTTGATCATGTCAATGCCAATATTATTTATAAAGGACCGTTAATCACAACCTAGGTTCACCAATGTGCTGCACAATAAAAACACAAGACAATACAATATAATTAATAAAAAAACACAATGCAATACAACTTCCTCATTGATAGGCCTATTTCACAAAAATGGCCGCCGAGACCGGAAGTAGGGTAAACTCTTTTCCGGTGAAAGCGATAGCAGGTACAGTCGGAGGACAAATGCGGAGACTAAAAGCGGTTGCTTGCCTTTTTATGTTTCAACCCAAAGAATAAACAACCCTATTGATCACTTCACAGCTTTTCGTGTTTTGCGGGTTTTCACGGAACAACTGGGGAGAAGTTAAATCACGCCAGGCGCGTGTGAAGGAGGAAGCAGATGTTGAAATGGAGTGTTGATGCCGGTTCGGGACTGATGCCCTGACAAAACATGTTTATATTGCACTTGATTGTTATCCGATTTGCACGTCATGTGCTTTTATTTAATATTATTAACTGTTGGCAAATTAAAATTGTTTGTAGAAGTTGTTTTCTGTAACTTTCTTTCCTTTTTACCTGGGTGCGCTTTGCCAGGCCTGCTGTTTACTTGTGCAAGCAAGGGCAGCTGGGACATTTATTAAACGTATAAAATACTTTCCAAACCGTTACATATAGTCTTATAAATTCAGACGTTTGTGATATAAAAAAATAAACATATTAGAATAACTTTTAAAGTTGTTTGAACACGGAGCAGTTTTCCCGTGAGTGGGACTGGAAAACCCGGAGTGGATCAGGAGCGGAGTGATAACAGATCGCTTCTGTGCAGAGAGGAACGGGCTTTTGCTCCAGTCCAGGCTTTGATCACATCTCCCTAAGCGGGTGAACACCTCGTCCTTCCGACCCATTCGAACTAAAATTAAGACATTTATTACACTATTTGAGAAATATAAGCATATTTACGGCCTTAAATCATTTAAGACATAAGGACAGGGGGAAACCTGATATTAACGGAACTCCGTCGTAGCGACGGATAACTTTAATCCCTGTATATATTATTTAGTGTATTACTGAATATAAAATTACATTATATACATTACATATTAGTAAATATATTCTCACATTTTTAAACATATGAAAATGACTTGTTTCTTTGCAAAAAGTGACTTGACATGTTTCATTCAATATATAATATATCAACACCATATATTATTCTGTATGTTTTCAAATATACTGTTAAACCATTTAATATATTGATAATTCATATATAGGGAATATTTTCTTTTCATAAGGGGACCCCAGACAGTTAAATATTATTTTGTAACATGATTTTTTTTTAAAACATGTAATAGGCTATCAATCACTTCATTCATGTTTTTAGTCGAACTATTTTTTTATTTGCCTTAATTTCATTATTAGACATACTAGTAACGTTAGGTCAAATTCACTGTAAAGATGTACAATTCTTAGTTTAATTCATGGTAACATGAAAAAGGAGCCATAATCTAGTGGAAGATTGCTGCAATCTCCTGGACTAACACTTAATAACATGATTTTTTTTAACAAAAGCCACTAGATTTCACTCATAGCCTACAATCAGACATCATTTCAAATTTTTTATTTATTGTTTTTCGATATATTAATGTTAAATAGCTTAGTCATCAAGTGTCATGCCATTTAAATGAATGGAACTTTTTTATGTAAGCAAACGTCAAGAATTTGTCCAATTTCAATCTTTTCACAACCCCCTGAAAACTATCAACAAAACGGACAACATCTGATATTCTTACTTTTGTCAGATAACGTTATATGAATGACTGGGAGAGAAAACAAGCTGTTCAAAGTCCATTTTGAGAATGAATGGCGATTGTAGCGGGCGGCGGCGCGACCAGAAGTCTTTTTGCCGTCTGTGTCTGGCGTGATTTAACTTCTCCCCAGTTGTTCCATGAAAACCCGTAAAACACGGAAAGCTGTGAAGTGATAAATAGGGTTGTTTCTTCTTTGGGTTGACATAAACACCATAAAAAGATAAGCAACGGGACTAAACCGCTTATAGTCTCCGCATTTGTCCTGCGACTGTAACTGCTAGCGCTTTCACCGGAAAAGAGTTTACCCTACTTCCGGTCTCGGCGGCCATTTTGTGAAATAGGCCTATTATATGCCAAATCAAAAAAAAAAGTTTTTAACTTAGATTTAAAACCAGACTACAGAACACAGAGAGGCCGATCGGTCCACAGGCGTGTGTTTAATCCACTGGATCTGAACGCATAATAAAGCGATACATTAAACAGACAAAGTAATAAGTGAAACAAGGGCTATAAACACACAGGGGCAAACGACTTAACTAGCTAATGAGGAAACAAGATACACCCGGGAGACTAACCAACGTGAAAACTACAAAGAACTACACAACATGGCCGACCACAGGAAGCACAAGTCCTCAGCGCACAGGCGGAGTCGCGACACTCGTGCTGATCATGTGATTAATCCAGCAGAAAGGTTCGGTGGGCGAGCCCGGGGTCAGAGGTCACGGCGGGCCGAAGGGAGACCTGGGTCACACCGGTGTGATCGGGGCGAGAGGATTCCCGGGACAGGATGGTTTTCCGGGACAACCCGGCGCTCCGGGATTTCCAGGGAAGCCTGTGAGCATTCCTACATTTCTCACAGCGAGCAGTTCGTGTTATAGCCAGCAGACATTTCCTTTCATAAGCAATAAACTAATGATAAACAAACCAACGATGACGGCGCATTCATGAGGTCGAGGCTGTGTAACTGAGTTTCTTTGAAAGCTGTGTGTGTGTGTCATGCAGACGCGTGTAATGAGTGTGTGTGTGTGTGTGTGTTTCAGGGCAAGCCTCCCTCAGAGGAGCGTTTAATGAGACTCTGTGGAGCCGTCCTGAGGAGTGAGTATCTGCCCTTGCTCAAGGTCACTCACAGCTTCCCTGCTCTCTCCCGACACGCACAGGCTGATATGCAGAGCGCCGAGGACAGCGCCGGCCAATTAAAGCGCTTAGATAAAAGCACAGTTCACTAGAAAGGAGCTTTTGTTAGGGAAACTCGCTGAGCTATCACACTTTTACAGTTCGCTTTGAATTAAAGAGGTCAGTTCTGGAAGCCCATTCTGCAACATGACGAAGAAATAACCATGCTTTGGTAAATCATAATTATGATATACTAAGTCATAATTATGAGATAAAAAGTCGACATTATGACATGCCAAGTAAGTCATATTTATGAAGTTGAAAATTTGAAATTATGACGTCATAATTCTGATAAAAAGTCAAAATTATGAAATACTATGCCAGTCAAAATTATGATGTGAAACATCATAATTGACAGTCATTATTATGAGATAAAAGTTAAAAGCAGGATGCTATAATCATGAGATAAATTATCACATACCAAGCAAGTCATAACAATGAGATTAAAAAGTTGAAATTGACATAATTGTGTTATAACCATAGACTGTAAAAAATATGGACAAAGCGTCAGTGATGTCACCCATAGACTTTCTGAAGAACGGGTTGAGGCCGTTTATGGGGGGTATGGGCGGAGCCATCTTGGAAAATCTTGGGAAATCCAAACCCAATCCATATATGGGTAAAAGGGCGGGCTTTGTGTGAGAGTGAGCCGGCCGGTGGACACGCCTCTTCAGCCGAGCCTCAGCTATCTGTACCGCTACAGGATCGACTGGCAGACTAGGCTACTCTTCACAGTCTATGGCCACTACATATCAGACATATCAGGCTTTTCTTATGTTACATTTAGGCATTTACAGTGTTTCAAACGTCAGTTATAACCGGTTATAACCATAGGCATAGGTGTAATTTGCGGGTGGGACGGGTGGGACGTGTCCCCACCACTTTTGAACTCGGACGCGCGTTTTAATCCGTTGCGGAGACTCTCTATTCGTTCCGGTGAAATCACAAAGTAAAATGCACACAAACGTGTCCCTGCTTGATATACAACCACTGATAAACATAATCGGTTTTAATGGGAGAGAAAAAAAACAAAAAACTATAGGAGTGCGGATTCGAACCCAGACCTCTGACATGCTGGGCAAAAGTTCTGCCACTGGACCATTAAACAACAAATTAAACACAATGTACTATTTAAATCGATTGCTGGACATCGGTATGTTATTGTTCATAGGTACATCTGATTTATGATTTAGCATTGTATTAGCCCCCCAAAACCCCACCTGTCCCTCTGACGCTAACTTATCTGAGGCGATGTAATGCTAACTGTTGCAGTGCCACTGCCCACAAACACTGATGCTAAATAGTGCTAACTACGTGAAATAGTAGTGGAATGTCACGAAGTCCTCCTACAGAGTCGGTTAGTGCAGTTTATAGCAGAGCAACCCATGTTATGTACGATAGTTCAATACGAATGTTCAGAAAGGATACAGAGGTGGTGTGATGTGTTGTGTCAGATCACGGCCGAGACCGAGACATGAGCCCGTTATCAGCTGTCAATCAAGCTGTCAATCAAAGTTAACCACGCCCTTATTTGTCATACATTTTATATCTAAATATGATCTAAACTAACGAGTTAGAAAAAAATTCACCCCCCTCACAGTTGTCAGGCACTCGGAACCTATCGAAAAATACAATAAAAGTCCATGGGACCAACCTGTAAAAACATGAGTTTATGCTGTGAAAACGGACATTTCAACATGCGGTCTCTGGACATTTGCTCCCTTTCTGGACCTCCCTCTAGCGGATTGTCCATGTATTGCAGTTTTCCGCACTTCCGGGTAGGCTTCATTTTTCAGATTAGAATGTTGCCGCTTGGTTATAATTCATCATAACTATGATAAAAAGTCAAAATTATGACGTCAAAATTATGAGATGAAAAGTCAAAATTGACAAACTAAGTCATAATTTTGAAATAAAAAGTCAAAATGTTGGCATAAAAAGTATAAACTATGACAAATATACAAAACGATGACATACTGAGATTTACATTCATAATTATGAGAAGTCAATTTCACATTAAAAGTCATAACTGGCAAAAAGTCATTATGACATACCCAGTCAAAAATATGACGTAAAAAGCTGAAATTATGAAATACTAAGTCACAATTATGTATCAAAAAGTCAAAGTTTTTAGATAAAATTCATAATTTTGACCTTTTTAATGTTTTTTATTTTTTATTTTGACCTTTTAATGTCATAATAATGACTTTAAGTCATAATTTCACCTTAGTATGTCATAATCGACTTTTTCTTTCATAATTTCGACCTTTTAATGTCAGAATTATGACTTAAAATCAGAATGTCATAATTTTGACTTTTTATGTCAGAATTATGACAAATATCATTATTTTTTTTTGCTTTTTAAAACAAAACATGCATGCATGAATCACTTACAGTCCAATAAGAGGCATATGAATATAGATAGATGCCGACTTTAAATGCTTTTTCTTTGGACGAAATATTACTGGAGGAAGTTATTGTGTGTCTTGATAGTCCAGATCATGAGATGTGCTCTCAGTGCCGCATGTGTGTGTTCCTCAGGCGAGCTGGCCCGGCTCCTGCAGACGATGGGCCCTCAGCGCTGTGAGCCCTGCGAGAGCATTAAAGGGCCCCCGGGACACCCCGGGGCTCCAGGGCCCAAGGGCTCCAGCGGGGCCCCAGGTTATCCCGGCACACACGGGGCTCAGGGATACTCAGGGCCCCCGGGGGTCCAGGGGCCGCCAGGGGTCAAAGGTGACCGAGATCCCCGGCTCTAACACGTCCAAATCATCTAAATGACTTTGGCTTTGTATTTTAATTGCATAATATGTTTGTCACTGTTTTAGGAGACACGGGCCCTCGGGGATTTAAGGGCACTAAAGGAGAGAGCAGACTGGGATACCCAGGGCCCCCCGGAGACACGGGTACACTCACATTATTACATGATTATGACAAAACACTGCAGGCAAACACATGCTTTTTTCATGCACTGGTCATTTTTGAGATTTTGGGCTATTTGGCTTTTCATAACATGTCGTTTCAGAGCAGTGAAAAGAAAACATCCACAAATACACATTTAAGTGTTTCATTTATGTTTATATTTATTTATAGCACTTTCAGAATACTTCGTTTGAAAGCAGCTTTCCAGCACATGCATGAGTCCACGTTACAGTTCACAGTGATCTGTTATCAGAGGAGACTGTCTGAGTTATGTATTTCAGAAATGTTTATTGCATGTTATGTTAGTTTCAGAATGTATCGCACTTTATTTATTTGCAATAGACTCAGAAATCTCCATTTCAGCAGCACTTCTTACATCAGACTGTCCAGTTCAGGGCTGTGTTTCCCGAAACCTTCCTAACGCTGCGTCGTCGTTCTTGAGTTACAGCTTAAGCCGTGTTTCCCGAACCCTTCTCAGTGAAGCACACCTTCTGTAAGCGTTCTGGACTTTGCCTGATCACTGTTGACAGGTGCAACAAAACATCTTTACATCTCAGTACACGGATATTTAATACACACAGTGTTCAATTAGGCTAATTCAAGTGTTTTCATGCACAGAATAAAATTGTAACTACACTGATTGTTGTTAGCTTTTTAATTATATTAACCAAAGGTACATCAGCTGGCAAACCGTTCGGCAGTGAAGGCTTAGGAGTGTATTTAAAGGGAATGATTGCTGGAACTATGGCAGCGATACAGCGGAGAGTTGTGCTGAATGAAGGACGGCGCCCGGAGCCTTTCAAAGTCCGGTGAAGCACTGCCAGTTCAGCCCGATTCCAGCGCTAGCTGTTCCTCGCGGGCTCGTACGGTGTTGTCATCATCATCATCAGGGTTAGTCTGTGATTGTATTGCCGTCCGACTCCAGGATGTCCGTGTTTTTCTCCCACCACCGCGTAAACATCCCCGGCCGACTGTTTCTAAACGAACACCAAGATGGTGTGGTGATTTAATCTGAATCCACATCTCTGAGTTTACAAGAAGAGATCACTTCAAACTTCACTGTTTGAATCCTGTTTGGCCCCTGCCGCGCACCGTACGTACGTCGTACACTTCTATTAGCTACTGAAGTGCTGGAAAGTATTTACAAGAACAATATTTCATCAGCGCTCCTCCTCAGCGAACAACACGGAGAAGGAGAAAAAAGCATGTAAACATTTGTGGCTGATATATGATACAATTTTAGAATATGTAGGCTAGGCTATAGCTTGGATTATTTATAATATCCCATTAATCCTAATAAATGCAATTTCCACTATTTCTGAAGTGATTATTTTATAAAGAAATTATAGTTAAGTTATACCTTTAGAGTCTTCGTAGCGCGATAAGAGAACGTTACGGGGAAACGCAGCCGTGTTCATATCTATATTCTGAGTGTTTGCTGATATATCACCTATATATTTAAAGGGGTCATATAATGGTACATGCACTTTTACAAGTTGATTGTACTGAAATGTGTGTTGGCAGTGCCTGTACACAACCATCATATAATGATAAAAATCCATCCAGTGGTTTTGTTTTAATCTCCTTATATGTTTTCCCCTGCCTCAAATCAAGCCGTTCGACCGTGTGACGTCACAGACGCCCCGCCCACGAGTGTTGATTGACAGCAGCGTTTCCACACAGACCCGCCCTGAGCGAGCTGTCATCATAGTCCGCTAGTGTTGATACGCTGGAGCAGAATGGCTCTAAGCGATTGTGGTGTTCTGTTCTTGGGTGTAATAACGAACACAGTCATTTTAATGTTCCTGAATCCGAACCGCTGAAGACGCAGTGGCTGAGTTTGTTTTCGAAGGGAATATTCCCCACGAGCAACGTCAATGCTCTCATGTTTGCGCGAATCATTTCTCACCAGACTGCTTTATAAGGAGGGTCAGTGTAAAGCTGGTTTTGCTAAGAAGCTGCGGTAACACTTTATTTTAAGGTGCTTGTAATAAGCAGTATTTAACAGTTAATAAGACACTTATAAGACCTTATAAGATGCATATAAGATGCATATAAGCATTAACTAATGATAATAAATAAATTAAATTAAATAATACATTTCTCAAGTATCAATACATTGCACTTTTAGAACAGCCGAACAAACATAAATGGTAACACAAACTCCCAATCCCTTAAAAATTGACCTTCCCAAGAGGGAGTAGTTTCCCTGATCTCTTCAGGGCCTGGACCTTTAATTAACCCTTATATAAAGTAGTTAATGCTTATATGCATCTTATATGCATCTTATAAGGTCTTATAAGTGTCTTATTAACGGTTAATACTGCTTATTACAAGCACCTTAAAATAAAGTGTTACCGAAGCTGCTCCTGAAAAAAGAATCGGTAGCAACTATTCGTGTTCCTGCTGAACCTCCAGAAGAAGTGAGTGTAAAGTTGTATTATATTAATCTTTGCAAATCGCGAAAAAAAAGTGTTTCATGACCATTAACTGTAACATCAATCTGTCAACGAACTAACCTATACATCAGTAAACACACAGCGTTCGTATCTCACTACTCGACCCTGCCAGTGCATACACAGATAGATGAAAGTGACATTACGTTTACTAACCATTCAGAAGCGTCCTGTTCGAGCCTTAACTGTCGAACTTCTTCGGGCCGTCATCTTGTTCTGGGTCCGACTCCGGTTCAGACTGATACGGTTGCACAGATGTGTCCTCAGAGACTCCCGCTGCCATTCTCTCTCCAAAATATACCCTCAACTGTTGTCAAGGCAACACTCCACGTGCATGTGTCAAAGCGCCCGCAGAACAGAGGGGCGGAGTCAGCGAAGCTCATTATCATTTAAAGGCACATGCACTGAAACGGCGTGCTGAAAACAGAGCTGTTTTTGACCAGGTAAAATTAGTTTTCTTAAAATACTAATGAGAATTTTTTTATTAAAGTATATTACAAACTTTTTATTTAGACACTAAAGAATCATATTAACTTGTATAAAAATGCCATTATATGACCCCTTTAACAATTCAATTCCTGAAGCATAATGAAAATGTATTTGTTTTCTGTCTGTTGACACTAGACACTGGAAATGTAAGCAAATTAGTGGATATTTAATTAATGTTTTTAGTGATTGTGAATGACTTTGGGCAACAGCTGTTGCATTAAATGTGCTATATTCATAAATTAAATGAAATAATTAGATAATACCTAATTTGCATATTTAAACATTATTCATAAAACATCATACAATTTTTTTTTTGCAATTTATAATGTAATCAATCAATTGGTTATATCTATTAGTTAAATTGTTTTAATCATATTCGCCTCAAAACATGTGTTTTATGAGTGATTTGCCGTGCACATGTACACAATCTCTCCGGCACTAATGGAGGAGCATGGGAGTGAATCTTGTGTAACTGTCCGCTTGTGCGTCTCCTGAACTTCCTCCACAGGGGTCCAGGGTCCTCGCGGCAGTGATGGCGTGGGGGCTCCGGGTCCTCCGGGAATAACGGGTAAATCCGGGACTCCAGGCGTTCCAGGGAAACCGGGCCCTCAGGGGCCGACCGGAGTGTGTGACATGTCCATCTGCTACCAATCCTATAACCTCAGGGACGAGCACTACAGGAAAGGGCCTGAGTTCTGACACACAGACACACACACACACACACACACACACACACACACACACGCCACAGTAAATCCAGAGGAATCTACAGACGTGGCTTCGGACTGTGCGCTGCGATGGTGCAATGAAACATAAGTGGCCTTTAGATGAATAATACTGACATTTATAGATTCATAAACCTGCCTTTCAGTGCACAACGGGCTTTGTGAACACCATTAACACATGGTCATAAGGTCATTTGTGAAATAATACTGCAAGTCGATAGATATTAAGATGTCATAAACATAGCAATTAACATTAATATGTATCACCATTACTTATGAATATTAAGTATTAATAAAGTAAATGGCTATTTTGTTGCCAAACACGGGACTTTTGCACCATGATCTGAGATGCAAAAATTAAAAACATTAGTTTGTTTGTCATTTGGTGCTAAGGAAGATTAGGAATAAAGATAATTATTTCAATAAAAATAATTCATTCAATTAAATCTGTTGTTTTATTCACTCGTTGAAGGTTAACTTCAGTACATTTCAAAACTAGTTTTGAAATGTCAAACTGATTCTTAAATGAGTGATGGAAGTCGAGAGAAGTGTAAAAGCGTGTGTATCCCGAGTGTTTTGTTGTTTTAAAAGCTTCAGGGATTCTGGGAAATTCCTAAATGATGCAAGTCTAATTTGTCTTTGTAAAATCTATATGATTTGCTGAATGGCTTTGTTGAAATAAAAGGCGATAGAAGCTGCTGGTTGATCTGTGGTGTCAGGGCAACGCTTATGAAAACCTTTTCACAATATTCTAATTTTGAATTTGGGGTTTTCATAAGCTGTAAGCCATAATCATCACAATTATAACAAATAAAGGCTTGAAATATCTCACTTTGCATGTAATGAGTCTATATAATATATTAGTTTCACCTTTTAGGTTGAATTACTGAAATAAATGAACTTTTGCACCATATTCTAATTTTCCGAGTTTCACCATATTAGTTAATAAAGTGTTCATGTAGAACTACTCATTAGTCCTGCATGACTTATTTAATGCTTTATTTCAACATTCAGTTTACAGAGTGAAACAACAAAATTAGAACACAATAATAATTATTGAGAATAACAAAAATATAAAGAATAGTAAAAGAAAACACTTCACCATAGCACAAAAAAAGAGAGATAGTAAAATAAACAAGAATGGGGAAACAAATAAAGAAAGAAAGGGCATTACTTAAATTAAAATAACATTAATTAAGGTTAAAGGTTTGTGGGTCGTGCGAATTGTACATGTTAGTGCTTTTGGGTTAATTAAGAGAGGATGAAACTGTAATCAAGTAATGTCAAGTAATCCTGCATAGTTACTTATTAATGACGGAGCAGTATTAATGAGGCGTCCAGTCTTCAGTGTAATGAGCCGCTCACTCCTGCAGATGGAGCCTGTGACCGGCGCGGCGGAGACGCTCACTGACACCACAGACTACGAGTACGGGACCGCGGCCGTTGGCTATCTGTGCAGCACCTTCGACATCAACGACTTCGCCAAACACTTTCTTCCCCCATTCTACTACATCATCTTCATCCTCAGCATTCTGGGAAACGGAGTCGTTCTGCTCGTCATATACAAGTTCGAGAAGCTGAACACGGTCACGAATATACTCCTCATCAACCTGGTGGCGTCCAACATCATCTACACGCTGACGCTGCCGCTCCAGGCCGTCCACCACTCCGGCCAGTGGGTGTTCGGGGAGGCGGTGTGCAAGCTGGCCAACAGCGCAGACCGGCTCGGCTTCTACAGCTCCATCCTCTTCCTCACTCTCATGGCGTTCGACCGATACCTGGCCGTGGTCCACTGTGTGGCCGCCAGCAGACAGCGCAGAACCTGCTACGCCGTGGCTTTATCTTCAGCGGTCTGGAGCATTAGCCTCCTCGCTAGCCTCGACGCCTTCATCCATTTCACGGTTGAAGAGTATCCGAAGTACGAGTTAGTGTGCGAAGACTCGAGCGAACCCCAGTGGAAGGTCTTCGGCCTCTACAAGCAGTTCGTGCTGTTCTTCATCTTCCCGCTGAGCGTGTTCATCTACTGCTACTTCAGGATCACGCTAACCGTCATGGCCACGCGGATGAGCGGCAAACACCGCACTGTGCGGCTCATCTTCGTAATAGTGCTGATGTTCTTCTCCTTCTGGAGCCCGTATAACATCGTACTCATGCTGAACGAGCACCGAGATCCCGGCGAGTGTGACAGTGTGCTTCCGTACGCCGAGTACGTCACCGCGAACATCGCTCGCCTCTATTTCTGCGTCAACCCCGTCTTTTACACCTTTCTGGGAAGAAAGTTCCAGAACCATGTCCGAGGAGTGTTGAGGGATCAAGCTTCGTGTTTATCGAGCCAAACTCTTCTCAGCGGGAGCAGCAGAACGCTAGCTTAAGAGGTTAGCATTACACTGGATATGTGGGGAGACGTGCTGCTTTTATTCTACGGGAAAAGAAAAAGAAAAGGTGAAATGAACTAGCAAACGAGTTGATGATGTTGATTGATGCATACGTGATAATTATTGTGATTTCATTCATATTCACAGAGATTTGTGTTTCCCTTATTTACTGATTTGCGTTGCACTTTATTTTAAGGTGTCGTTGTTACAGTGTAATTATATATTTAAGCACTGAGGAATATTAACGACATGTGCTTACTATAGGGTTAGGGTTTGGTTGAGGCCATAATTTACTGTTATTACTATGATAAGTACATGTAACATAACAAGGACACTGTACAATAAAGTGTTACCCTGATTTGTTTGTGTGCTGTAATAGTATAGTTTGAATTGCACTAAACTATGAAAATTTGTTTCTTCCATTTCTTCGTTTTATCTAACACTTCTGACTTTTCCTCTCAGAGTTGAAGTTTCTTGCCACTTGGAAACTCGGAATTAAAAGAAAAAAATACTTTTTTATTCCATGGCTGAAACAAGCTTCCATAAATGCAATGAAAACTACATAAAACATATTTCAACAAAGCTTTGCTTATTTTAAATGGACTCTATAACTGTGTCTCACTTTGTCATCACTCGTTTCAGAAAAGTAACTGCAGTATAAAATTAATAATTAGGACACTTTTTACTGTAATGTAAACGCATGGATCATGAAACATAAACTGCAGTGAATTCTAAAAAAGTAGATTGTCATTCTTGTTTGCAAAGCTTTATAACGTTTTATTGTTATTCTAAATGTTAAAGAATGAATGTGTTTTAGAGCCACATTATGTGATTATGATCATAGTTGAAAAATGACAGATATTATGTGCTCAGTTGAGTTTAGTCTTCATCTGTCTTCAGAGATCTTACCGGGATCTCTACAGCACACATGCACATCTCCTCTAAGTGTGTTTTTCCTTTTGGTCCCCTAGAACTCAAGATTTGTGATCATGAGAACAAACGCACTAAACGAAGCCCTCACGGTCCGACCCGAACAGAGCCGTGGGCATTTGCATATCTGAGATGCTTGATGTGAAAGGCTTTGTACATTATGTCATGTTCTCAATGCATTTCATATATTCCTTTCAACAATCATCCGATTCAACATCTGTTGGCTTTTATTTGCACGGGAATTACTTTGTTTCAATGCTATTTTAACACCACTGAAATCAAACAAGTTTAGGTTTAACATTTAATTTATTTAATGTAACAAAAATGAATTTCTGGATTTAGTTTTAAGTTAACTGTAATAACCCTGTTTTGTTTTATGATGCTAAAATGAGTTAATATTAATTAGGTTTTGCACAAATAATTTAACATGATCTTTCTTTTGAGAAATAAATAATATATCTGTTTTTTTTCTCATATCAAAACTGAAATGTAATAACTATTTCAGTTCTTTCACACCATTTTTTTGCTAAAACCACCAAAATATTGGTAACACTTTACAATAAGTTTCATAGGTAAGTCAGTGATAATATATCATATATATGTATATATATATATATACGGCTGGTTGTTATCTCAGAATAGGGTGATCAGGATCAGGTCTTCATCAGTGGTTTATTCTGAGATCTCACACACACACACACACACACACACACACACACACACACACACGCACGCACGCACGCACACACACCTGAAGGGGTTTATTCTGAGATAACAACCGGCTGGATGTTATCCCGGTTATTACACGGATTCTTGCCACATAAGTTAATAATTAGACACAAACAAATTCAGTGTCCCTCCATCACGCTTGCAGGAAAGCTAAAGCCTAATGTGCTCAGAGCTGGGCTCCTGTGGGCCCGTGTGATCGCAGACCCTGTGTGTGGAGATCCTCCCTCTCAGCAGGAGAGCATGCTGGGAACTGGTGTGTCGGAGCAGAGAGCATGCTGGGAACTGGTGTGTCGGAGCAGAGAGCATGCTGGGAACTGGTGTGTCGGGAGCAGAGAGCATGCTGGGAACTGGTGTGTCGGAGCAGAGAGCATGCTGGGAACTGGTGTATCGGGAGCAGAGAGCATGCTGGGAATGCTGTCAGAGGAAAGCAGAAGATCAGGCTGAGTCACTGCTCAGAATAGTGAAGTGTGGGTCAGTGACACACAGTCATGGGAACAGACGAGCCGGTTTCCCTTTGTTTCACAGGATAATGTCACAGAAGTAAAACAAAAACAGTGGCGGCTGGTGGGGTTTAAAATAGAGGAGGCACACAAAAGGTTAGCAGTCGGATTTTTTAACGGATCTTTTTTGGTAACTTATATACCTGAATATTTATAGAAAACGACCCATAGATCAAGACAATATAAATATAAGTTCACTCACCTAGTCCTAGCCTATCACTTAAAAACATCCATCCTTCTGTACTTTTACTGTTAATGTCCGAGCTAAAGAGCAGGTTTGGTCGTCTAGTGAAGCTGATTGCTGTGGCCTATCCAGATTAGGCATGGGGTCTTCTTTCATTTTTATATGTTTTCTATGTAGCTGTTGTTTGAATGGTAGTTTAGTAAATTTGTTTGCGATCAAATATTCAATATCTCTACTCTCCATAGTTACATCAGCGGTAGCAGTTCATACTAATACCACGTTATTTATGTCTTGTCGATGATTGGCTGATATACCAACCCGATCTCACGGCAATTCGTACGAATTTTACGAGGTAGCTAATTCGTACGAATTTATACGACTTCATTCATAAATTTTTTGCTAAATCATATATATTTTACGAGTTGCCCAATTCATATGAATTCGTACAAATGACCTACCCCTGACCCGCCCCTAAACCTACCCCTGACCCGCCCCTAAACCTACCCCTGACCACGCCCCTACACCTACTCCTGACCCCGCCCCTACACCTACTCCTGACCCCACCCCTACACCTACTCCTGACCCCGCCCCTACACCTACCCGTGACCCCGCCCCTACACCTACCCCTGACCCCGCCCCTACACCTACCCCTGACCCCGCCCCTACACCTACTCCTGACCCCGCCCCTACACCTACCCGTGACCCCACCCCTACCCCTGACCCCGCCCCTACACCTAGCCGTGACCCCGCCCCTAAACCTACCCCTGACCCCGCCCCTACACCTACTCCTGACCCCGCCCCTACACCTACTCCTGACACCGCCCCTACACCTACTCCTGACCCCGCCCCTACACCTACTCCTGACACCGCCCCTACACCTACCCCTGAACCCGCCCCTGTAACGAGTGATTAGACAAATCGTACGAATTAGCCACTTTTTACTCACTCGTACGAATTGGTCGTGAGATAGCGTTGGATATAGCAAGGGAAGTTTGTTCCTAGGTATGCAGGTTAGGTATGTTCCTTTTCTCAACACTCCTAATCGCTGAAAGTGAAATACTCGATGGTGATTGGCTAATTTTTTTATTATTTTTTAACAACGGGGGCACAAGTCTCCGGTTATGGATTAGCCTCCTCTCCATTTCTCCATCCCATCAGACTCGTGTTTCACAGGTTCGGCACATTCTGGGAAGAAGCGTGGGTGGCTACACTTACAGAGAGGACATTACAAACAAGAAATACACATTCTGAGACATAAAAGTTTGAGTAGGCTGAGCCTCCCCTGACGAGCCGCCACTGAAAATGAATGCACTTACTTATATTTCAAGTTGTCTCCACTCAATTTTGCACATAAAATATGACAAGCGGCTCAATTTCCCACAAGTTTGGCTAGTTTTTTTTTTCCATGGAGGCATGACATCTTGTCAATCGAATGTATGGCCAGTGAACAGATCCATGGAGCTACATAGGACTAATAACAAAAACTGAGAGAACCCTTGAGTATAATTACATACATTTGTAGATTTCCTGAGTGAAAAAAAAAAATAAATAAAATCTAGTACACTACAAATAGCAAAGGTGAGGCAATTGAACTGCAGTTTTGGTGCAAACACTAATCCCGTCTTCATTCCCTCAGCTCTTCTTCTGCACATCTCAAACACGCGGTGTGTTTCCTCAGATGGACTCCACGGCCCTCATTTCTCAATCAATGCAGTTTCTGTGTGTGATTTCGCAGTTCACTATGAGCAAGTCTTAGCTAGACGTCTCCCTTTTCTTCACAGATCTCATCTTCCTCGTAAAGATCTGTGGTTATGATATATTACCAGTGTGTATGATTTAGGCCTAGATATTCTGAAAATTGTATCTATTTTGAAATATGCTTTGACATAAAACTCTTTGACAGGGAACAAATAAATAAATACAAATAAATAAAAGTGTGTGTGTGTGTGTGTGTGTGTGTGTGTGTGTGTGTGTGTGTGTGTGTGTGTGTGTGTGTGTTTGTGTGTGTGTGTTTGTGTGTGTGTGTTAGAGTGTGTGTGTGTGTGTGTGTGTGTGTGTTTGGGAGGCAGGGTTACCGATGGGCTGATTGTGATGACAAAATGATGACTAAAGCTTTGCTCATGCATTTTAATCAGGTAAAATAAAATATCTAAAATCATTTTTAAACATTTTCAGTAACGCATTCAGTGGTTCAAAACAAACCTGTAACTTTTAGTTTGATAAATGTCTCCATGTATCAGCAATTATCAATCCTGGGACTAAATACATGAACCAGTCCTAAAAACGAATGCCAAAATGAATTGATGGTGTCATAATGCTGTTTATGATGCCATAAATTGCCGTTATGACATCCTAATGACTTGATGACTAATAAATCAATGATAAACTACAGCCATAACAGCACTAGTTTAGGGTCCAATTCTCTCTATTAACTAGTTGCTTATTATCATGCGGATATTGGTTGTTTATTAGTACTTATAAAACCCATATTAATGCCTTATTCTGCATGATATTCTACATCCCTATACCCAATACCTACACTTTACAACTACCCTACTAACTATTAATAAGCAGTAATTAGGAGTTTATTGAGGCATATTTAATAGTGTGAATTGGACCCTAATCTAAAGTGTGACCAAAATTACATGTTGCATGAATTACATGAAAATGTCTGTTCA